TTTAGTAGCTGTCAGCTTAGATCATTACAAATTAAATTAGAGAGGGGCAAGCAAATGCTCATTTTTTTTTTTCCCCTACTTCTTCTTTTCAGGTTTGATAGCTCTTTGCTTGTTGTGTCCATCATAGTTTCTCTGTAGGTGCTCCTGTGAGGTTTCCTGTGAATTTTTAAAACATTGGAGAGGCAAGAGGCAGAGTGGTTGTTTTTGTTCTAAATTTTGAATACAAAGTCACAAGTTAATGAAGTAAGTCAGAGGAATGATGTATGCTTTAATACATACATTAATATGCTTTTAATGCTCCAACTTCCATAGATGACAAGCCTGTAAGTAAAAGACCACAAGGGATGTTTTTAATCTTTAAGTTTCATTTACCTAGAGCTTTACTCTTTTCTGAGGACAGGCATTAAAATTGCTGTGATGACCAACCCTTAGCAAGTTATTCTTGGAAAAAAGAGCTTGTTTTCACCTAGATGATTTCATTGAACCTAATGGTTCGGTCTGTTTACCCGAGGAACATAATCTTGTGCCATTCTAAAGAGTTTAATTAGAAATCAATTTGCTGATGTATAGACATGGAGATTTTTTTCCCTCAAAATGTCATACTGAAAATTCAATCTATTTTTATCTCTTATTATTTTTAACTTTTCATTATTTTTTTTCTTTTTTTAGAAATACTTTGATTTTGTGCTTGCATCTTTAATTCATTGATCAGTCTTGGTCTGTTCAGGTTATTTGGGGATGTATTACTCATGAAAGAAGACTGTACATTTCTCTTTCATTTCTGTTCAGTGTAAGGTATGTTCTTTGTAACACAGCAGCCAGATCTTTTGACTGCTTCTTTAGTTCAGAAAAGAACAGCTTTTAACTTGATTTTCTAACAAAAATACATTACACTGTTGCCTACCATTCTACTGTCATTACCTCTAGTAACCTGTTGACCCATTATGGCAAGATTTGATACAGAGATACATACACCTAAGGTAGTTAAGTTCTTCAGTACTTTTCAGAGCAACTGGATGGGAAGGATGAGTGTTGAGTAAGGAAGTGGTTTTAGTTATGAGCTCAGTTATCCTTTGCATTCGGTCTTTCACTGACCAGTGTAGAGCATGAGTAGTTTGGAACCTGTCCTCGTGTGTCTGTATTTTAGTTGGGGAGCATAGGGACAACCTGGGGATGTGGTGGGAGACATGGTTTGAATGTAGTAGAGAAGGAGGGATTAAGAAGTCACTAGAGAAAGGGAGGAATAAGAATATTATGGTATAGTATTAGGAAGTAAATTTGACTAGTTTGGCTGTTATTAGCATCTATTTATTTATTTACTTTTATTATTTAAGAGCCCTAATTGTGAAAAGATATTAATTGAAAAATAGTATTTCCTTTAAGTGTCATGATTACGACCTTGGCATAAAATTTTCTGATTTTCTGGGATACTTGGATATAGGATAAGATATAGGATCAGCCCTTAGTTAGGCATATGATTTATTTGCAACTGAAGTCTTAAGTTGCCTGTGTAGTAACCAGGAGGTAGGTATCTGCATGGTGATTCCATTGTTGCTATGGGATTTAAAGCTCAGTGGCTGGAATCTTCCTGTCAATAGCAGGGCAGTGTCTGAGCACCTCGCACACTCACCTCTTACTTGAGTGCACATTGTATAAATTCCAGAGTTGTGCAAGTGTAGAATTTAGGATGAGGCACAACAAGACTTGCCAATCAGCTGTCATGAAATGTCAATGTTTGAAATATTTACAGAAACCTTTTACTTTTACATATAGAAAATTATATAGTTACATATTTCGACCACATTCCGTTGTTCAATACTATTTCTTTAAATTCCTGTCTTAAGGTGTCATCTTGTGGCTGTTGCCATGGATGGGTTGAATCTGTCTAATCCAAATCCAGCTGTGTTTCTTTTCTGGACTGAGTTATCCATTCCAAATGGTAGATATTTTAGAGCATATCAACCTGTTGCAGTGAAACAAAAAACCTGCTGGGATAGCACTGGCATTAATGGGGATTTTGCTTGGGTGCTGATAACATGAGGTTTTGCTTTCCTGAATTACTGTTTGAGTGTTTTGGCCAAATTTCACAGAACTGGCTTGCTGCATTTTATGATAATAAAGAAGTCCAAAATTGAAGGTATCTCTAATAGTATTGTTTTGATTTTAAAAATCACTGCTTTTATATGCGTCTTATACTGGATTAACATCTCTGATTCCAAATAAATTCTGAATATGAACAAGTTTATCTCAGTTGTAGTATTTACCACTGAACATATATAATAACACTGTTCCTTTAAGCTTTTCTTTTATAAGAGATTTTAAATTTTAAAATGTTTATGGCAAGTATATGCAGTTCTAACATTTGATTTCGGATTCTGAGCCCACTAATGGCAAAAATTATTCAAAGCATTTTAAACTGTAAACACAGAATCCTCGATGTAGTAATCCAGGTTTATCTGATTCTTTTGTGTGAACTGGTAAGATAACTTTAACAAAAACATGTAAAATTACCAATGCATAATTACTGGAATGCCATCGTTGAAAATCACAGAGCATTCAATTTTCAGTTGTGAATTTGATGTTATTTTCCATCGAGTATGCTGACAGTAGTATAATGATTCTGATAAGAAGGTAGCATCGCACATATGTTTTAATGTGGAAGTCAGTTTGAAAAAACATTATTGTAAAATTGTATTACTTTAAAAGCATGTAAAATATCCTACAAGGGATGTTTGTATGTCAGAGGTGGTGTTTTTAGTGTTTGTTTTCTAGGGATTGTCAAAGGGATTCAAGTGGTTTTTAAGGTTTAGAAATATAATGGAAGCATAATGCAAGTATAATTTTATGTGACATTCCTTGTCATATACCTCACATTATGTAGCAGACAGATGAAAACCAACATTTTCTTGACAAAGGTGACTAAATGATTTATAAATCTTGTCTCTCCCTTTTCCTGAGGTTTAAATATGATTCATTGCTTTTTAAAATGCCGTTATTAACTTGTAATCTTTTCCACTTAGGAAGTATTTCCAAATTACGTATCAGTTTTTAAGATGACGTTACTCTGATTGTACAAAGCATACATTATTGTCTCTTGCTGCTTAAACATGGAGTATGTGGACCGTAACACTGCATCTGTTGGCATACACCTTTAGACCTACACAGCTGCATTCAGCAGGGCCTATGTGCGTTAAAATTGTCAAAAGTTTTAAGTTTCTTAGAAAAAATGTGAGAGATTAAAAGCAGTAAAATTGGCAGTTAATGTGCTGCTGTCTGATCAAAGTTTTTCTTTTGTCTAGTTTTAATTTACAGTGACCTTGGGTTGTGTTACCCCATGTCAACCCATGTAGTTGACATGTAGCCCATGTTACATTACTACCACTAACACTGCGTCGATAATTTGAGTTGCTTGTAATGAATACGTTCTTCCAGATTATGACTCTTCAATATCTACTGTGTGGCTTGTGGAAGGTAGAACACCTCAGTTATGAATGTATTACTAAATGTATAGTAAATACTGGTATGTATTAAATAGATAAGGTTTTACATTTTTTTCTAAATCATCTTTAGGGGAAAAGTGAAAGAAATTATCTCAATGGTAGTGTTTTCCATTCCTTTCTACTGCAGAGTTAACTCTTGCCTAAAACCAAAAAACCCTTCCCAAACAGTATGATATTAACATACTCAGATCAAAATCTCGTAGGTAGAAAGGTATAGATGCGTTGAAGTGGTTGATTTATTTACAGTATAACTATATTTAAATGTGAAAACAGTTGAAAATTGTGTACAGTCTTAATTTGAAATTAGTATAAATCCCCTTCAAAGAGTACCTGAAATAGGAGAAACATTTTAGTACTAACTTCTTTGGAATTGGATTCATGGCTGCTTGTGGTTCTCAGCTCACTTGAGGATTTGGGTGGTTTTTTTTGATCAGCTGGTTTTTACTTTTTCTGAGGTGAACACTAGACACTTCAAAAAAGGTTTTAAGTGATCATAAAGTAGGTAGTAGATTTTTGTTATCCCTAAGGTGATGATTCCCTCGTAGAAAAACAAACATTTTAAAGTTTATTTATTTATTTATTTTATTAGTGTTGCAGTAGCAGACATTGTGAGTTAGTGGAATTTTCTTTGATATTTTTCATTTCTTTCCACATCCCTTCTAATTCCCTTGTTAAACAAGCAGGAGAGAGTGTGATATTGTCAGCTCATGGCAGTTATTTAACACATGCAGGTTATAATGCTGCTATTTCAGAGATAAAAACATAGTGGCTGAAACTGAACTTCTGTGAATTGCATGTAGTTACTTAGAGCTGCTTGTAAACCTTTTGATGGTGCTGTTACAGACCTTGGAAACCTCTTTTTCTTGACATTGCTGGTATTTAGATTTTTTGGCCAACTGCAATAGTGAAGTAATTTCCACTTTTTGTATTACCTGTTCTATCTGTTTTATACCATTCATATGTTGGTGTGTGCTACAGCTTTGTGAGCATGTGCCATGTACCCATGGTATATGGTAGCTTTCAGGTTGAAAGCTTTAATTCTTGCTTACTCCTCAGAAGCTATAGTTATTGTTTTCTGTTTCTATTTTCATGAAGTTTTTTTAATTTTGATTTTTTTTGAGTCTGATCATTTGGCTTACAAAATAGCACTTCTAAGTGCTCCAGGAATTGGCTGCAATACACTGTTCATACCAATTTTCATATTATGCATTTTAGTATTGAGAAGCTTGTGCAAAGTCTGTAAGAGATTTGTAGTCTTTTAGAATAAGATTCTACCTGCTCGGGTCAACAAACATATTTGTATTTACTTTTTGACTAGTTCTGTAGATTTATATCCATAATCTGAAGCTGTTTTTCTAACATTGGTTGTAGTTGTCTTGTTTTATATTTCACGGTTTAAATTATTTTCTGTGGTAAGTTTTTGTTGTTGTTATGAATAATAGATAAATAGCAAAACTCTTCTGTTACCTAATATTGAATTTTAAATATATTTTCTTCTAGAGAACTAGAGGACGAAAACGAAGCTTTGTGCCTGAAGAAGAAAAACCTGAGGTTGGAATATAGTGTTTTGTTGTTATTTTTTATTTTTTATTTTAAGGTTTTTTTAAAAAATATACTTTGGACTGAAGTGTTACTTTCAGTGCTATAATTGAAAATATTTGCTTTCCTTCCCTCCTTTTCCCCTGTTCCTTTCTTTTGCCTTTTGCTATGACAGGAACGGATCCCCAGAGAAAGAAGACAACGACAGTCTGTTCTGCAAAAGAAGCCCAAGTCGGAGGATTTAAGGACTGAATGTGCTACCTGCAAAGGGACTGGAGACAACGAAAATCTAGTCAGGTAGGTTTGATGTTCTGACCTTATCAGGAATTAAAGTTCCATCTTCATAATTTTGTCACTGCGATTATAATGAAGAAAATGTGCTTTTTTAAAAACAAACAAACAAAAGCTTATTTAGGGGAAACTTTACATGAGAAATGTTGGCTTGATTCACTTATTGACCTGACAGACACATTTACACTAAGGATTAAGATGTAAATAACCAAGATAATCTGTTTGTCTAAAACAAGAGAATTAATTTTCTCTTGTCAGGGTGAATTTTCAGTGTTATAGAGCAGGTCAGAAAGATAAACAAACCAGCAATTTAATGATATTAAAGATACAGGAGCATCCTTAAAGTAATTAAATAAACATCGTTAATAATTTTATGAACCGAAATGTGGATTATGAGGAATTTATGTTTTAAAAAATGTATTAATGGTAGCTCCATTAATGCAGGTCATGAAAAGCTTTGATAATCGTTTCTTTCTGAAACAGAAGTGAAAAAAAGATCTGTTGAATGGCATTTTAGTAGGTGCAGAAATCTAATTAAAGTGTAGAATAGTTGCCACTGAGTAGCTACTGTTGACCTCAACTTCTGCTGATTTGGACTTTATAGCTGGCATTGTGGCCTCTTTGCGAAGCTGTAGAAACTGCTCACAGTTCTTGAGAGAAGAATAATGGGGCTTTGCAACCAGAAAGCGAATTTTAATTGAATCTACTGAGCATTCATTAAAATGATCTCATAATAAATTCAGATTAAAAATAGTGTTAGATTTAGGTTCTGTATGCTTCAACTAGATTTTTCCAGACAAGATCTCCTCTTTAGCTCAGATATAATTATTGGTTTTAACTGGAAGACTTAATAGATCGTTTAAATTATTTCAAGGAATCAATATATGCAAACAACACATAGCTTTAGAATCTTAGATGTCTTGTACTCAGAACAGCTGATCAGTTACAGCATGTGATTTACTGTAGAAGTTGATACAATACCAAGGATTATGTCCAGATTGTAATTTTACTTCCAAATTAGAGGCAAAGTGCCCATACCGCTCATCAGTAACTCTGTGACTCTTACATAGACAAGCTACCACTGCTGGCTACTCCTAGATCCTGCTCAGTACCAGACTCTGAAATAAAAGCAGGATGTTACCGTGATTGCTGATACAATTAATACTGATGAGTACTAATGGTCGTATAGTTTGTAGCTGCCCATGACAAGATAAAGGGCTTTCTTCAGCCTTAGTGTCTGCAAGAAATAAAAGATGCAGGAAGACCATTTTGTTGTGCAAAGGAATCCTAGGAACATGTACTGTGCTTTACTGCGAAAAAGTTTTCTTCTTCAGGTTTCTTCTAAAAGTGTTGAATACCACATTTGATGACATACAGGATAAGATGAGAAAATGCCATGAAGAACTGTATATTTAAGTTGAAATTAAAAAATTTGATAGAAAATTAGTGGTATGTCTTGTTTACTATCTGAAAAGGTTTTAGTGGTAGTTTAGATGGGCCAGAAATGAGCATACTACATGCCAAAACCTAAAAAATTCTCTCATAAAGTATTCTCATAATTAGGATTGAAAACAGAATAGTAATCCTGCATGGGAGGAAAAAAGGAGATTCTTACATTCTAATCCTGTGTTCATAATTCTCTGAAAAATATTTTCTGAAATCTTCTACCTTATTTTCTGTATTAGTTTTTAAAAATGCTTATGAATTTAAAACTTGCTTTTCTTCAGATATTTTTTATACATAGCTGAAATTTTTTCCAGGTTAGATAAAAGTCCTTCTAAAGTTCTGTGAAGGCTGATTTTTGATAATTACTAAATGCTGGTAACATATTTAGTAAATTAGATTTTTTTTTAGGTTTTTTTTTTTCTTGTTCTTAATGCTGTATTTATTTTGATGGGAGTAAATTCAGGGACTGTAATACGATGGTAACTACCAGATAGGCTTTCTGCTATGCAACCAGAGCTGTGTAGGGGTGTGATCCACAGAGCATTGCTATGTCAGAGGTTTTCAGACCTTCTGCCTGCACTGCTTCTTTCTCCTGCCTGTACCATCATGTAGGTCTCCTTTGTGGTAGTAGAAATAGAGTGCTATCTTAAGTGCAGGTTGGTAGGGCTCCTTGTAAGCAAGAAAAGTTTAAGAGGAAAAGCAAACAAACATGCTTTTCAGTATCCATTTTTTTCATACTGTGTTATTAAAGCCAAAACTTTCTCAGAAAAGCAGTGATCTTTGTCATAATCTTTGCTCTTCGTTCAACAAATGTTTCGTGATTACTGGGTTTTATTTTCACCCTTTCCTACCTGTCTGCAAGTAAGAAAAGAGGTTTGTGAGGAGGTTATAAAAGAGATTTTCCTGAATATAAAATTTGATCACCAAGTTAAATGGAAATATGCAACTGCTGAAACTGCAGACCTAAGGAATAATCTTGATGAGCCTTCTACATTTTCCTGCTGTGAGTTACTTCAAACAGAGAGGAATCGTAGTAAAATATGGAAGGTTTTTAATATTTTATATTTGACGCAGATAGGTTTGATGTAAGGTATGGAGACACAGCACTTTTAAAAAGAGTTCAGTGAAGGGACTTAAAATGCGCCCTTGAAACTGAAGTATTGTGGAAACAGAGTGTACCGATAACAATATACGGCTCAATCTTAAAGAGTAATGAAATACTGAAAATATTTGCTTGACATTATCATAGAATCATAGAATGTATTGGGTCGGAAGGGACCTTTAAAGTTCATCTAGTCCAACCCCGCTGCTGTAAGCAGGGACAGTGTTACCAGATCAGGTTACTCAGAGCCCCATCAAGCCTGACCTTGATTATTTCCAGGCATGGGGCCTCCACCACCTCTCTGGGCAGCCTGTTCCGATGATCTACCACCCTCATGGTGAAGAACTTCTTCCTAATGTCTGATCTAAATCTACCCTGCTATAGTTTAAAACCATTGCCCTGTGTCCTATTGCTTACACGCTCTTGTAAACAGGCTCTCCCCTTCTTGTAAGCCTCCTTCAAGCACTGGAAGGCCGCTATACGGTCCCCCTGGAGCCTTCTCTTCTCCAGGCTGAACAATCCCTACTCTCTCAGCCTGTCCTCATAGGAGAGGTGCTTCAGCCCATGGATCATTTTTATGGCCCTGCCCTGGACATGCTCATGTCCTAATATGAATATATGTTATGGAATATGAGAGCTTCTAAAGCTTGATGTGAAAGGTTAATTTTCTAACAAACTCAGAAAATAATTTTAAAGGATATATTTCTTTTTAGAGATGAATTCTACTGTTTCATTTAGAAATGCTTTTCTTGTAAATTTGTATATAGTATAGACCTGTAGTAGGTTTCCTAAGAGCTTTATTAAAGTCTTTCATGAATCAATGAGAATGATAGATCTTGCAAAGGAATTGCTTGATTCATAAGTATCTCCTTTTTGGGGGGGACCGTAACTCACTAATGCAAATCTCTAAAAATAGCTCCCTTTAGAACTTAACCATATTTAGTAGAAATATGAATGGGGAAGTATATTTCAGGTGGCTCAATATGTGATAGGTAAAAACTTGCCCTCCACTTTGCACCATACTCCAGAGTAAGTAAGTGATTGTACCACTGTACACACAAAGTGCTTCTAACATGGTGTTACTGTCTGTTCCAGTTTGATGACAGAAAAAATTAAAATGAATTGTGTATTTTACTTTAATATGTGGAACCGATTCTTTAAAGAAAAATCCACAAACTGATCTGGGTTAAAATCTTCCAAGGGAAGACTTCTAAATGACTTCACTTCTCAAGAAGTGGCCTCTTGATTAAAAAAAAATCATCTGGCTCTCAACTGCTGCTATTAAAAAAAAAAAAATAATAATTATAATAATAATGATAATAATAATAATATTGTTGACTGTAAGCTGTGCTTGGGTAATATTTAGGAATATTATGCATCAGATAAAATTGGTATTGGTTTGAGAAAAGCAAAGTAAAGTTAGAATATAGTTTATATATGGGGCAAAATCATATTTGACCAGGTTAAAGAAATCTCTGAAAAAGCATTAGACTTCTTCATCCCATAATTTAGAGCAAGCATGTAGCAATATGTTCTTTTATAGTCTTGTGTACTGAATTTTTATGCTTTATTGTCAATTACATTAGAATTTTTCATTTTGTTTGATTTGCAGCAACTGAGACAAAGTTATTACTTCAGCATTACAGAGAGGGTAAAATAGACTAAGGTCACGTCTTTGAAAGAACATAGGATATAATTTTTTGAAAATTTAGTTTAAGGCCGCTCATGTAGAGATTAATCACAAGGAAAATGTTAGTTAATTCAGCGAGAGATTGCAACACGCGTTTTACAAAGGATTACAAATGCATTGTTTTATTGGAATGTACTACTTGAATGAAAGCAGTCTTAACATTCAGTTGTGTAGTTTATTTTTGCTATATAATTTACATTAATTAATTCTGCATATGAACTTTTTATTTGCTCAAGTTACCTGTTAGATCATTTTTTTCTGTCATTTACCTCATTTTATTGCCTTCTAAAAAGTGCTTCTTTTTATTCTAGTTGGCAGAATAATACCTACAATGACAAATGGACATTTTTGTTCACAGAGTACTTTAAATAAAGTGAATTACCTATGCTACATTGCATTTTACTGTAAAATACCACAGACTTTTCATTTTCAGTAAATTCATGTGCTAGGGCAGACATTCAAAAAAAAAAAGCTATAGGCATTGTGAAGCTCTCTTGCGAAATATCTTGAAATCAGGCACAGGTCTGGTAGCAAGACATAGTGCTGTCATTCAGGGCTTCTTGAGATGCACATTTGCATTTAGGCAGCTCAGCTCCTAAAGCTACATGTACATGGAACAGTTGAAGCTGTAATGCAAAAAGTCCATGTCAGACTCATGAATTTTCTGTCAATTGGGAACCAGTCTATCTACTTGGTACCTAAAGGTTTCCTACAGTTTAGGTGTCTTGTTATTTTCTGAAATGGGACAGCAGAATCTGAGTTGACTCT